CTTTCCCTAAGAACTTGGGATTCATCAGGCAGCTCAGGAGCATAAATAACGGTTGCATTGATTATTTAATATTGCCAGTTGTTATTTAACATGATGGGATTGTAGAAACTGGCTTTCCCATGGTACTTGTTAGCTAGCTTTGAGTTTTCTACCCAGGCACAGGCCTGCATTTGATGAGCTAGTGTATGCAATGTGCACTTGTAATAAAGTTAATGTAACTATTTATTCCAGAGTTATCGAACGACTTTACTAAATCAAGACGTAGCAAAAGGTCCTAGGTGGAGACGATCAGTAGCAAACTAAACAAACTTTTAATAGTTCTGCAAGAAAAATCCATACGTATGTTGCTGATCATAGGTCTTGACAGATTTTTCTGCAGCAACTTAAGGCATTGCTGCTCTCTGCTGTCCTTCCAGTCTGGTGAGCACTGCCACCCTGGAATAGGAGTTAGGGTGAGGGTGGGTGTGGGGACTGATTGACTTTCTAGTTCAAATCATTGCGTCTGTTTGAGCCCATGTTGGAGCTAAGCGTGTACTAACATCTTGGCCTTGGAATTTGAACAGTGCAGTTTTGAGCAAACATTTCTTTGATATGGGGGTGTTAACATCTTTAGAAGATTTTAATAAATTGAGAGATAAGAAAGGTGTAACATCACTTCAGTTGGCTACAGTGGATGGACTGTGAAAGCTCTTTGCTGCTTCTGCAACTGTGCATTTTGGTCTCACGGGCACTAAGGATAGAAGCTGATTTGTTGAATTGCAGCTACTGAGTAATAGTGCATGAAACAGTGCACTGTAAATCTGAGCCTGGGCCTAGTCTTTAAGGCATAATCACATCATTTTGAAGAGCTACCTCAAACAGTAAATGCCATTTCAGATGTTGCCCTCAGCATGGTTGAGATGTGTTAGTATTTGGGGTGTTAACACTCCTCAATTTTAGTACAATACAAACTAATAAGCTAAAAAAATCTCAATGTTTGAACCCTCCTACCAATCTGCTAGTACAACTCAACATTGGCTTCATGTACCTAAGGATGACTAATGCTAGAACAACATCTTAAGCTGTTGTGGCTGTTCCTGAATTGGCTGTAGAGGCATCAGGTTAGCATGGCTCAGCGAACACAGAACAGCTTATCAGAAAGTAACTTTGTGGGTGCTTATTAGTTTTATTCACATTTGCTGCAGTCCATGTTATGCTTTCTTTCTGTATGGGCTGAATTAAGAAAGCAGTGCATCTAAAAGGTGGCTAAGCCTAGTTCTGTTTATGTGCAGTAACTTAGTAACACCCTAGTCTGCCAGGTGAGCACTTCACTAAGAAATTCTGCCTTGAGTACTTTTGGTTCCAAGACACTGAGCAAGAGCTGTAGCGTTATTTTCTCTTCTCTGTTGGGTTTTCTTTCTTTCTTTCAAGGGAAACTTAATTTCTGGAAACTGCAAATATACTAATCCTCATTCTTTTTATAGATGCAGATTGCTCCAGATTCCATCATCTTGTCTGTGCGACTGTTAACTCATTTAGTTGTCAGCAAGCATGTTTTCTCATGGAGACATTGAATCAAACTTTGTGACTAATTGGATTACTGCCTACACTAGTAGGGAACAGGGTTTGGAGGAAGGACAGGGGCAAGACTGAACCCTCTGGTGTGTGGGGAATTGGATGTGGAGGTTTACTTTCCTCACCCACTAATGCTCAGTTTTGCTTCTAGATATCTGCTTCTCCATTCTTTTCTCAAGTAAAAGAATAAGGTATCAAATAATTCAGTAGCAAACAGTTCAAGTTACCAGAAACACAACTCAGAACTTGTTGGCTGGCACATTCACTGCTTTAATGAGTTCATAGCTTGCAAGAGCACGCTCCTGCTCACTGTCTATTAAGTGTGAAATATTTTTACCAGTTCTCATTTTCCTTTTTGCATCTGGATAATGACTGTACTTCTGCGATACTCTTTGATTTACAGTTTAGTTGCAAGATTCTTTGAGATGAATCCATTTGAACCGTGGTTAACACGAGACAAAGTGGACCGGGTAAGTGTAGGACAACTCATACATTCTTCTTGGGAAATGTTGCATTGTGCGCTTGTGACTTGCACTCGTAGTTTTGCATTCAAGGGAGTGCTGAAATATGTGTACATCATTGTGTAGTATTTCAGTCAGTTCAGTGGCTAGAGTTTGATTATAAGGCATTGCTTTCAGACTGTTTGGATGCTACCAAAAAAAAAGGTGTCTGTATATAACTTCCCTCAAAAATGATTATGGTTCCTACCATACAATTGCTACAGCTACTGTTCTGCAATCTCACTCACGTCTAGACATATTGCAGTGCCAAGGGGATACACTGTCAAGGCAGTCTGGAGATTCCAGTGGTGTAGTCTTACAAAGGCTTAATAAGAAAGAAGGACTAATAGAATTTTTGTTTAGAAGATATTATTATAATTAGTCTTTCCCCTAGCATTGGTGGAGGAAGAATAGTTAACATATTCCTCTAATCAGGTTTAAGTGATTGCAACAGCAAGTAAGAAGATGGTTATGTAGTAAGAAGTAATGTAATGGGGGTGGGGAAAAGACCCAGCCTTCTTAAGTGTTAAAAGTGGTCAAGGCTGCATGCTTTTCTGTGCCCTTGTTCCCCTCACCCAAAATACATGCTATTGAAAACAGCAAAGACAAAGTAGAGATTTGATGTGCAATGTGCAGGTAAGTGATTGGGGGGCAGGTGTGCTACCCACTTTTGGTAACTAGTGAGTTTATTTACCTCTAGATGCATTGAAATCACTTATAACACCCAGATAATGGTGCTTTTGACAACTCAAGTTGAACTGTCAGTGCTGGATACAGCCCAAGTTCGTGCTTAATGTTGGAGTGCATTCCTTGTGAACATGTTTAGCTTCGTGGTTTTTTCCTAACTTCTCAGAGTGTCTAAGTGGGGGTGGTGAAATAACTTGCAAAAAACAAACTGCAAGTGAGGAAAAAGTAGGACTTAGCAAGCATTAATGTAAAAAATTCTGGCATGTGTAGGTTAGCAAAGATAATAATGTACTCTGACAGTCTTTGAGCTTACTGCTCTCTGAAGGTTGCAGGTACCTTCCCAAGTATTTTTCAGAGTTTGAGTTTTAATACTGTTTGTTATGATGCAGTATCAATAGCCTGTGTTGACTTTATTGTCCCAAAATTAATTTGAGGTTACTACTGTGAATCTGGAACTGGATTCCATACTTAGAGCTGCTTACTTGAATAGCTGTAAGCGATTAATTCCTATGCTTACATGTCTCCATCTGTGAAATAAACTGGTTTCCCATTCTGTTTGGAAATAATTGTGAAAAACTATGGACAGTATGTCGGTAAAGGAGGTAAGCTTATTCACAGTCTAGCGCAAAACTTCTTTTTTAATACCCCCCAGAGCCCTGACTCATTCCCCATGCTAGAAATTTGGCATTGTAGTTCTATTAACTGTATTGGCCCAGGATGTAGATGTAACATCTCTTGAAAAGCTTACTTCTGGCTGCCTTTGTAAATTACAGAGTTACATTTCATAAAATAAGCCTGCACCAAATCACTAAAACTACTGCAATTCAGCTCTAGCACAGGTAGTACAAGAGAGGAGTTTCTCTGTGTCACTTCCATGTCTGATTATTCTTCTTTCTGTCTTTTAAGTAATTACATAAAATTAGATGCAGTTGACTTAAAGACCTTTCAAGGAATAATCTTATAAGAGAAATACCTATTTTCTAACATAGATCATATGTGTTGCAAGCATGGTAATAGAATTAAATATTTGTCCTATACAGGACCCTGTTCTAAAGCACAAACAGAAAAACAACTTACCAAAGGTGGTAATTCAACATACATTTTCTTAATAAAGCAGAATGTATGTAATTGTAGTTCAGATATGCCTTTATAAGTTTGGCATAATCTTGTGGTTGCAATGCAATAATCTTCCTGGTAATCTATACCTGACGGAGATAAAAGGAAGGCACTTTCAGCATATCTTGTTGCCATTTATTCCTTAATCTAAGTCAGATGCCTGCAGAATTTCTTGCCAGATGCAGAACATCGGTATCTCCTGTCAAAGTATTATGGATACTCAACGTCCTGTATAATGACACCATAGTTGTGTAGGGCCACATTGAATCATTGAATCTTTTGTTCTTCCTAAGGGAAGACACTGAGTCGGAATGAGTCAGGCAACTGGGACTGACACAACTGGCTGAGTCCACGTTTGTGGTTGAATAGGTCTTCAGATCTACTATGAGATGCAACTGTTTATTGTATTGTGGGGTTCCGTCTTGGGGCAAACAATCTTGTGTCAGCAGGCTTGAAATTGTAGTAGAATCTCCCAAGAGCTGCCATTTGTACAACTTTGTTTTGAGAGGGATTAAAATGTTTATAGTAGTATGGATTTGTGCTAGCTTGTTTACACAGAAGAAGAATGGTGACCTTAGGTATAAGTACACAATACTTTTCTTTTTTTTTTTTTTTTAATACATGAATGGTTGCATTGGATATAATGTTCTTCATTCTATCAAGTCAATTCCTTCCTTTTTTCTTTTTTTTTTTTTTCTTTCTTTCTTTAAAGTTTCACACAACAGACATGACATTTCCTGACCTTCCTGGTTTGGAAGACCTGGGTGTTCATCCAACAGCTCTAGAAGAAAAAGCAATTGAAGTTCTGCGCCGTCACCGCAGATACCGCTGGCTGGACGCTGAGCTGGAGGAAGCAAAACCGGCTAAGACATATCCCATGTAACAGTTGATATAAGGTGGTTACTTCACACTTCTTAAACTGCCTTTGTATGACCCAATTTGTTTGGAGACCTGTGTACATACTGAGTAAAATATATTAATCATGTAAACTGTATTTCACCAGTGTTGTCTCTTTAATTATAGAAGACTGTCATGGAAATGCAGGTTTTTTGCTTTAAAGGGTCATGAAGGCAAATTTACATATTGTTGCTTAGCTGGTGAGCATTAAAATATTTGGGAGGTGTGTTAACACTGGTCAATTTCCCTGACTTGACTTTCAAAGCAAGCATTTCACTGAGTGTTAGTAAGCGCTAAATGGTTTGAAGAATATTGTAGTTCAAATTCAGGACTATGTGGCCTAGAACACATCCTTACCAGTAGGGACGGCTGGTACTGCCACCTATTCAGATTAGGAGGTTTCAGATGAAACCCTGTTCTTAAGTTGACCTTTCTGAGCTTTGTTTTCTGCCCTGGGCAGAAGTATTACAGAAAATACCAAAAGCAAAATGGCACAAGCTGTTTCTAAGGTCAAGGACCATCGGTCAGATGTGTAAACAAGTTAATATGTGTCATCTGATCTCTTGTGATAATTAGGTGTGCTGTGGCTCATAGACATGAGGAAATGTGCCTTTTCTTCCATTTTAAAATGAGAATGTCTGATTTTAATTTTTAGATGCTCAAAGATTTCATGTGCTGGGACATTTTCTTTTGGTAACAAGGATAAGCTTTACTTCACAATTAAATATTTTCAATAATTTTAAAATCAAAGAAGGATCCTTGCCAGAATTTGATCAAGGACTGTGCTTTCTGTTTCCATATCCAAAGAGTTGCTGGAGGGTTTTGGTTAAATTTTGTCAGGGATGTTGTTTGCTAGGGTGCAGCTTAGAGCTGAGTAAGTCCACACAGAACTGAGAGCAGAGAACTGGATCTTCTGTATGCAGCGCAGTGTTCTAATGGCTTCATGGTGTGGAAGACGGCATTTCTTGAATCGAGGAGTGAGCTACTAGTTCTGGGAGTAAACTACATTAACTAGAATGAGTTGAGATTGGTGGGGAAACTGGTTTTCAACTTAGAAGGGATAAAATGAGTGACAGAACACTTTTTTCACCTCCAAGCTTCCTACTACTTGCCTTTTCTCAATGTGAAGCCAGAGGCAAGGAACTGGGAGAAGTTGGACAAATGGGGAAGCCTGACAGAGGGGATACCTGAAGTAAAGAATGGGATGGAATGGTGATGAAAAGGGAGAGCAGGCAAGAGCAGAGACAGAATCAAAAGAACAAAAAGATCAAGGCTAGGGGAAGTGCAGAAGTCTCTGGATTAAACAGTACTCGTTGCTGGAGCCAAAGATCAGAATCTCACTGTTTCTGTATTGTTGACAAACTACTGAAAAACTCCTGGTTTAAGTGTTTCATCAGCTTCCACATTTTACTCTTCGGTGTAAAACGTACTGCTGCCAGTGTTTTCACTGTTGGGAAGAGGTAGGCTTTTGTGGTAATATGCCTACTGTGTATTTAATTCAGATCTCATAAAATATTTCTTTTCCTAATATGAGTTCAGTTGTTTTAAAATAAATCTGCCAAACATCCAAAAGCTAGGTCGAACTAGAAATGAAGTGCATATTGTTGGTAATTTGATCTTTAACTTTTATTTTTCTGACTGCAAGTTTTTTCTGTAAGACTCTAACTGTAATTAAGTAGCCTCGTTAGTGCTCGTTTAATGTGTGACCATAATCTTGATTTATGGCGTATTATTCACATCCTGCTGTGAAAATGGTGGTATTTCTGAACTGTGCACTTAGAGTACAGAGAAACGTGGTTGTCCTGATAGGTCCTACATAGCTAACAAGTTCTTTCCATTTTGATATGGCAAACTGAGGCAGAAAAAAACTGTCAGAGGTCATACTGTAATGTTAGGTGCCAGTTCTGAGAGCGCTTACCATAATGCAGTGATGTTACTTTTTTATTTTTCCCAGTCAGAGCACAGCTTTGTCAGTGGCTTCAGTTGCACCACAGACCACACCTACAGGATCTTAATTCAGATGGATAACCAAGAAGAGTTTGCTATGAGGAGCCTGCTCCACGTCAGACAGGACAGAAATACTGATAAAGCAGAGTATCACGTTAGCATTCCTCTACTACTGCTGCAAGTTTTGTTTTCCACAGAACTTTGCCTTACTAAGGAAGCGCTTCTGCTTCATACCTTGTAGAAACTACAGAGTGAGTTATTTATCCTCCCATAGCAATTTCTTTAGGGATCCTGAAAGTAGTAATGAAGTCACCTATAATACAGTCCAGGGTATAAAATTCAATTTCATCAGTGATTTTTATCCCTGCTCCTTTGTCAGTGAGAGCATCTTCCTTGTTATCCTGTTCCTAGTTTCTCAGCTTGCAACAGTTTTTCAGCCAATATGTTATATGCAAAGAGCTGCAGATCTCTAACTGTCTGGACTTGAGTCTCATGTTTAACACCTTTTCGCGGGGTGTCTCAAAGCGCCATGGAGAGGGGAAGGACGGGGCTGTTGTTTTCCACCCTACCCACAAGAGGTCACTGGTAGAGCAGAAAGTGGCAACCACGGTCTCGAAGCACGCTGGGTGCCCCTGATTTTTTCTTGCCTATTTCCTGCACAGGCTTTGCAGCTTCTTGTCTCCGTTCCTCGCCTGCGTGCAGAAGACTATCCAGAAAGGGCTTTTCAGGTCAGGCCCAAAAATGTGCATTGGCAACTCTAGGTACAGTGGTATAATGCTAGCTGGCACTGGTACCATCTCTGGCTGAAAGGGAACCTGCATGTAGTCTAATAATTTAATTTATAGCCTACCTTCAGCCTACTGTAGAGCATCTGTTTATGGACCATATGATTTGTTTGCATGGCTATGTGAGTGTATATGTGTAATTATGAGATAGATGGTTCAGGACCACTAAGAACTGAAGAGCTGGTGAACGCAATCATGTTAGCTACACATGGGTATGTGGATATATCTGTGTGTGTACATAGACATGTATGTATGCATGCCCCACGCAAGCCCGGACAATTGGATGGAAAGTATTTGCATTTCCCTGGGACTGAGAAGAAAAAAGAAACAATGTGTAGGTGTTACTATAACATCGCTTCTCACATTTGGCTCTCAGCTAGTCTGAAAGAAAAAAAGTGACACTTCTGTTCAATGTAGTTAACTTGGTTCATACACTGCTTTGAGGCACCCAGTGTGAAGAGAAATTGTAAGGAGAATGTTGTGTTTGTTCTAAGAGTAGTGGTCTTCATGTTATTTAGAGCACCTCTAACTATTTGAGATCGTGTGGGAAGTATTGGTAGCATTTATCCTTTAGCAAGAAGGTGTAATTTTTCAGTATGAAAGGATATAGGTATGGGGGGAGGAGAAGGAGGTAGCAAAAGCAGAAAACTTCACCTGCTTTGCTTTTTGGCATCTCCCTGCAAGTAGAACTGGAAGGGTACTTACATTTTACGAATGGCCTTTGTGGATGGGCATAGAAACTGCATCTAAGGGTGGAGGGTAGGATTTGGATCGTATGTTTTTTCAAAGATTGTATGTATCCTAAGCAGTTAGGACCCTGGTTTGGACTTGCAGCTAATTATGTTTGTATTTATGCTGAAAATATAACATTTAAATTACACTATTTGTCCTGTATTGCTCCAAGTCAGAACAGGTGACTTGCATAGAATTAAGCCTTTATGTCTGATAGTTTAGTCTTATCTCTAAATTTTTCTTTCTTGGCATATTTGGGAAGTCTCAAAGCTTTCTTCACTTGGTTAGAGGGCAGATGGTTAATGACTGAGAAGACCATCCACACTGGCAGGAATTATTCCGTAGTTACCTCTCTCTCCCCGCTATTATTTCCCTTTCCCCCTGCCCCAAGTGAAATAGATAGATATGCATTATATGAGATGCGGAGATCAGAGGGCTGCTATATTTAAAGTAATTTCGGAGTGGTGTAATTCATAATGGTGTTACTGCAGCCTCTTTGAGGTACAGAGGCAGAAGCTGGAAACTGCTGAAATGGCAAAGGAAAGCTGGTGACAGAGCTGAGAATAGTGAGAGTGTGCTCCTATGGCTTCTTTCTACCCTTTTTATGACCAGCTATAGCCTGAGACTCACTCACCCTAAACACCATTCTTTCTTGAAAAAGCTGACAAAGATGGTAGCATAAACATTTTTGTAATAAACAAATGAGACCTTTTGGAGAAATTATGAATGAAGCTAGTTCTGGATTCCTGTGAGTATTTGCTTTTGCTTTCCTTTATACTTTCTTAGGCCTGTTTTGAAACACATTTCCATTTTGATACAAATCAGCGACAATAATTCACAGCTGATGTACTTCCAAAATTTTGGAAGTCAATGGGCAAAGCTTGTTTCATTGTGGTTTTCTTTTTATTGGGGTAAATAAAAGCTAGAAAACGGAAATTGCCCTTCTCATTGTTGCTAGGGAATCTCATCCAGATCCCATGGTTTTTGTTGTTAAGATTCTGACCTGGAGCAGGTCATAAAGAGCCCAGTTTGAGAAACACGTATAACAACGGGTGTGCATTGGTTTACCCTTAGTATTGCTACAGTCTTGATTAGAATTAAATTGGCCAGTAGTTAACAGATACTGCCTAGCGAATACTTTTCTAGGTTTTCCACCTCTTCTCTAACTTTCTTGGCCAACATTTATCCTCTCAGCTGATGAAACTGATTAAAAAGACATCAAGTGCTTTCCTTCAAAGTCTTTTACTTTGTGTGTATGTATGATAGGATGTTTCAATATTTCAGCTTTCCTGGTCCAGTATGAAAAAATATAATTTGGAAAGCGATGGCTTCTGCAGAACAATTAGAAAAAGAGGAAAGTATTTTTGGGATAAGGTTTATCCCAGCTGTATTTCTACTTTATTGTTTATTCTTCCTATGCCACCACTTTTTCTTCTACATGGAGGGGCAAAAAAGCAACCCCTGAGGAATCACAGAATGGGTTGGGTTAGAAGGAGCCATTGAAGGTGATCTAGTCCAACCCTGCTGCATTGGACAGGGATGCCTCCCACTCGATCTAATTGCTCAAAGCACCATCCCATCTGGCCTTGAACTCTGCCAATGATGAGACACCCACAACTTCTCTGAGC